AGCCCTCTCCGTTCTGTTCTCTGCATTCTCAGCCAGGAAGGTCAGCGCACGCTTCCTCAAGCCCCTTCCACAAGGGTGGGTGATAACGCACCAGCCCCTCCTCCCATAAACTGCAAAATCCTCTCGGAGGACAAGCAATAGCACTTGGTTTGCTGAAGGCGGAGGTGGAGGACGTTCCCTCTTATCTGCTTGCCTCATCTGAGCCGAATTCTCCGTAGGCAGAGCTCGGCTGCAGGAGGAGCGGGGAGTCACGCAGCACGCAGCCCCTTGTTCCTACTACAACTCTGTCAGCAGCAGCCCCAATAAGTTCACTTTTCATCCATAAAATTGATCCCGGAGATGCGGGTTTGTGTGTGTTTCTTCCCAGCTAGAGCAGTTATACAAAAACCACAAATTAATCCATCGGGCAGTGTTTTTGGAAGTACTCTCTCGCCACCTACACACATGTGTAACCAATACAATAACCAAATGAAGTTCCAGGTGCCCCAAGAGGTGTAGCTGGTATTTGTAGTTCAAGAAAGCGAGTACGATGGCCAACCATGTAACCATGCTAGGCTGAAAGAGCTCATAGCAGACTCGGTAGGAAGGACCCGAGATGAACCAGTTATTGATTTGTAAAGCACCCAAGATGTTGGAGGACCTGACTGCGGCACAGGAACCAAGCAGCCGGTGCCAGGCTCACACAAACACTTCCTCCTCCCTGCCTGCTCTCCCTGCTCCTCCAAAGGATGCCGGGGAGGAAGTTGCCTTTATTCATCCAGGCAGTCAATGAGCGTGGATTAAATGTTCCCGGATAAATTACTTCAGGAAGCATTTTTAGCTGCTGAATGCAGTCTGTGGGAAACACCTGTTTGGTTTCCACGTCCTGAAACCATGGAACAACGGTTGAGAGGTACGACTGCAGGCATCCCTGGGACTCCAGCAGGCGGCTTACATTATAACTCTCATTTTTGTACAATGGAGAAAAAGAAAGGAGGAAAATGATAACGTAACAACGTAGACAACTTGGGAGTTAACAACATGACCAAGCAAATTCAAGTCTGAGATCAGTTCCAGGCATCCAAGGAGCCTGGCAGACATTAAGGCCACACTGGCCAAAGCTAAGTGAGGTAGAAAGGGGGGAGGAAAAAAAAAAAAGTAAATTCAAGACCAAAACATGCAGGAAGGGCAATGTAGTGCTCCAACACTCCTACATCCTCTTCTCTGTTGAGCTCCACATAGCGCCCGCTCCCTGCGGGGGAAGGTGCCAGTCCACCTCCCATGACCTCGTTAGCTCCATGGAGGCCACACAGCATTCTGGGCACCTCCCCTCCCGCCCCCTCCCTCCATCCCACCCAGAGGGAGATAAGCCATCTCACTTGGCTTTTATTCAAAGGGCTTTTAGAGAATGACTTAAGGTGGTTTGGCAGGCAGCCACGGCACACAGTATAACCAACCAACC